AGGCCAGGCCTCTTGTATGTCCTTGAACCCCTGAGAAGAGGGGGAGAAGGGGCAACTGGCCTTAGTTTTTTTCTCCATCCGACAGGTGGAGCCCCATGAGCCTTCCCTTCCCCTCTGAGGTTAGTCCAAGTGCCCTTATCTGAGCAGGGCGGTGGGATTAGGGGTCTCCAGATCTGCATGTCTGGGTCCTCTGGATGAGGCATGATAGGGACAGCTTTGTATTTCCTGTCCATCCAGGTGGCAGGAACTGAGACCACTTAGGTGTCCAACCCAAGTCCTGCCCTGGTTTTGAGACCCCCAAGGAGCCCTCGGAGTCATTCCCATCCCTGGGACAGTGACCCCTGTTGGGAGTGGCTATAGGAGGTTGTCTGGGGACCCAGCAAAGGACTGGCCGCTGAGCTGAAGGCCACCTTGCTGTCCTGAGCCGCTGCACAGCTCACATCCAACCAGGAGGTCCACAGTCAGCCAGCGGAAGCGACCCCTTAGCACAGGCCTGAGTAAGCAGTAGGTGCTCAATCTGTGCACAACTGACCAAGTGTTTACTGGAAATTCAAATCTGATTTTTCTCAGTGTGATCCAAATTTTGGGTTCCCACCCTGTTCCTCAGTGCCCTTTCTGGGAAAAAATGGCTTTGGGGAGAGATCGTTGCCTTTTTTATTTGTTTTCTGATACAGAGTCTCGCTCTGTCACCCAGGCTGGAGTGCAATGGCACAATCTCGGCTCACTGCAGCCTTCACCTCCCGGTTTCAAGCAGTTGTTCTGCCTCCGCCTCCTGAGTAGCTCAGATTATAGGCAAGTACCACCACACCTGGCTAATTTTTGTATTTTTGGTACAGACAGGGTTTCACCATGTTGGTCAGCCTGATCTCAAACCCCTGACCTTGTGATCCACCTGCCTTGGCCTCCCAAAGTGCTGAGATTACAGGCGTGAGCTACCGCACCCGGCCGACATCAGTGCCTTTAGGGGCACCTTCAGCTCTGATGCTGTCAGGCTCTAGGATTCTTCTCAGCACCTCCCAGGGTAGAAGATGAGCTGCCCTGAGTGGCACTTCATCCTCCCAGCACACTGGTGGTCAGTATGACCATATTCTACCAAGGAGGCTCAGAGAAGGGAGGGGCTTATCTCAGACAGTGACTGGGGGCAAAGGTAGAGTAAGAACCTGGGCCTCGAACTCCCAGGGTACCATTCTTTTCCCATGCCATCCTCCCCTGCCACCCGCCGTGCTGCCTCAACTTCTCCAAACCAAAGCCTACTTCCTCCAGGTTGCCCTCCCGGAATGCTGCCTCCACCCCTGGAGCTGACCTCCCCAGGACAGTGAGGAGCCACATCTCCTGCTCTGGTGCTCCTAACAGCTGTGACGCCAGTTTGGTGGTGAGGAGGGGCTGGGGAGCATGTGGCACAGGCCGCTGGGTTCTCAGGGGCTTCACATCTATCTCCACTGCCCACGTCCATCACTCCTCACGTGCTCTGCAGCTGCCATGTGGGAGGGGCAGTCACTGCGAAATGGGGGAACATGGGAGGATCTGGTGACACATAGTAGGTACTTGATAAATGTGTGTGGAGAAAAGGAGAAGAGGAGAAAAGGAGGGAGGGAGAGGGCTGCTGAGTAAGTTGATGTCTTAGTGGATTGCCACGTGGAGTGTTGGAAATAGATGCTCGGTGCTGGAAAGATGGGTACACGGACATGTTGGTGAGTGAGCTGTTGAATGAGGGAAGGAAGGCTGGATGAGGGAGCGAGTGTTTGGGAGGAGGAATGTTCACCCCGTGGCTCTGAGTGTTACAGCTAAAGGAGGAGCTGAGAGCTCTCGAATCCCTGCCCTACCCACTTGACAGCTGAGAAGACCGAGAGAGGGCTGGGCAGAAAGAAAATTGCTGGTTCTGTGGCCCGGCAGCCTCTGGTTCTCCCCTATCCCTCTTCCTCTGCCCCCATCCCCTGCTTTCCCCTACTGGGATTGGGGAATGTTCCGGGAAGGATGCCTTTTTTCCACCTCTTTGCTCCTTTAAACCCAGTTTCCGCCAGGCACTAGGCGTGGTGTTGGGGATGGGAGGGAGCCGGTGGCCCCCACAGGGGCTCTTTTAGTCAGAGCCAGCCCTGCCAGGAAGCAGAGGAAGCTGCTCACCCTGTCAGAGGAGTTGCAGCGTGGCCGAGGCAGGAGAGTGGGAGTCTCAGCTCTGGCTTCCCTTTCCCCGACACACTTGGGACCACCAGCGTGCTGCAGGGACAGGAGGCTGCCTGTGAGTGTGGGTGCGTCGTGGGCCCATGGGTCAGTGCAGGGGTTGGGGGTGGGGGGCGGCTGCACACAGGGAACTGTGACTGAGGGTGGGCTGGGGTCAGTGCTGACCTAAAGGAGGCCCACAGAGTTGGGGGGCCCCAGAGAAAGGGAGAAAAGGCCCAGAAAGGAAGAAGCAAGGTGAGCTCTGAAGCTAGATAGACACAGGATTTTGACAAATGCAGATGAGTTGAATGGCACTTTGTGTGAAGGGAACAGTGGAGCTGGGAGGCTGGAGAGGGAGTCTGGCTCTCCGGTTGCCACTGGCTGTGTGGCCGTCTCCATGTCTTGGGGATGTGATGAGAGGGGAAGGGGCAAGGGTGGCGGGAGGAGTAGAGTGGACCTGACATACTTCGGACAGGGCTGGAGGGCTTGGCAGGGTCTTGAATGTCAGGAAAAGGGTTTGGGCTTTTCCCCAGAGGGCAGAGGGATGCGAAGAAGGGTGTAGTCAGAGCCAGTTATTGGCAAGCCCCCACCACGGGGAGAGTCCAGCTCAGGAAGAGGCTGGGATCTGTTCTGGTCCCAGACTTAGGAACCGAGAGCTGGTGAGTGATGTGAGAGCTGAGATCAGCTGCTGCCTGGAGGTGGGACCCAAGCAAATCCCCGTCGAGGCCAGCCCCCACCCCGGAACTGGGAGAACAGCTCAGCTCTCCTAGGCCCTCAAAAGTAGACCAGGGAACTGGGGCGACTGCCAGGCCAGTCTTTCCTGACACAGCCCTGAAGGTTTGCCCTGGATCCCCTCCTGCAACCCCCTGCCTCCTTCCAAGAGGGAAGGGAGGTGGTCCCAGGAGGATCAGTCTTGCCAGCGCAGGGGAGAGGCAGCCTGCAGTCCCCAGGCATCTAAGACAGAGGGTTGTCCCTGGGGGTGGGATCTGAGGGTGAGGGCCACCCAAAGGAAGGTTGAAGGACACAGCACCCCTCTAACACCTTCTTCTCCTCAAAACCCTCTTCCCTTGCAGACTGGTCTCCTCAGACTCTGTGTGAGGAGGGAGGCAAGGAGGGCCAGAGGCTGCCTCTCGAAGATCAACCCCATGGAACTAGCAGTTTTCTTTCTCCTTAGAGTTCTTTGTCAGACCCTGAGTGAGAGGAGACCAGTCTGCAAGGACAGAGGGTTACGGCGAGAAGGAGAACATGGTCGAAGGGCGCTGTGTCCCTCAGGCTTCCTCCTCACCCGGCTGTCCTTACACCCTTCTCCATCCATGGACATCCTCCTAAACACCTGGGCCTTGCTCTGTCTTTCATCCTGCTCTGAAAAGTCTCCTCCATCCAGTGGCTCACACTGGTCTCCTCCATCAGACTAGCCTATCTGTATCTGTATCCCTGTATCTCCATGTCCACCTTTAGACTATACCTTCCTGTATCTAGCTGGCAGGGTGGACTCAGTGAATGCCTGCCATGTGAAAACAAAAGAATGAACACGTGAATGAGAATGGCCTGAACCAAGGAATGAAGAGATGAGTGGACGTTCTCCGCTTGTGCTAATCCTGGCTTCCTGGCTCTGCTATGGCGGAGCTGGTGTGTTTCTTCCTCTGACCTCCCCGTGGTGCCTACCTTGTCCTAGCTGGGCACCCAGCACTCCTAGCATACGGGCTAAAGCCCCACAAAGAATCTTTGATAACTAAAGGTGGCATGGGGTATGGGATGCAGACTACAGAATGCAACATTATCATTTTGCCCAGAATTGAGGTAAAATAGCTTCACCAAAATGAAACTCTAAGTTGGGAGGCATGTATTTTTCTCTGATATAACTTTTTAAAATCCCATAACCTTACTTAGTAGGTATATTAAGAACAGCAAACACTTGGCCCCATGCCAGGCACTGATCTTCACAACAACCTTATAAGGCAGGTACTATCTCATCTCATTTTACAGACGAGGAATCTGGAGGACTGAGGTTAACTAGTGTGCTCAAAGCACACAGCTCATCCATGGCATAGCTGGGATTTGAATCTGAGCATCTGGATCAGAATCTGTATACTTTGCCTGAACCCTTTACCACCTACTGAGTGCATCTGCAGGACTTCATATTTTTTCTGGGCCTCAGTTTTTCCCATCTGTAAAATGGAAAGAGAGGAGGATTAGACTCACTATCTCAAAGGCCCATTGGATTTAAGTTGCAAATTTTCTCTCGACACCAGTAATATGACAATGTCAGTTTAGAGTTGAATGTCTAGGAGTCAGACTTAACCCCAGCAGGGAACCCCTTAGGGTATTTGTGCCACTGGCTCTCCCAAAACCCAGCCTGAAAGAATGAGAGGAGGGAAAAGATGTAGAATGCAATGGCATGGCATTTACTGAGCACTACCGAATGTCATCACTGCACATGTCACTGATGAGGACACTGTGATATGCCCCGCATCACACAGCATGGAAGTGGGGGAGCAACATTTCAACCCAGGCCTGCCTAGCTCTGAAGTTGGCCAGGTAACCTATACATCCCATGTCACGGGCTACACTAAGCTGCCTCTTCTGGACTGGCAGCTGGGCTCTGGTTCTGACTCTGCTCTGACTCACGAAGAAAGAAGGAGCAGTCCCTGCCCCTCACTGTGTCCAGATAAACGAATGACAGAATGACATGGTCCCTCACCCATCCGCCTTCAGGGACACTGTTTTTACTCTGGGCGCCAGGGGGCGCTGTGGTGTCAGAGGCTCTGCCAAACCCACCTTTGTAGCCTCAAGTGGAAAGATGCAGTGGGGAACTGGGAATCACCTCCTTCCCTATTTTACAGATAACAAGACGTCTGCCAGAAGGACCATGGCTTTGGAAGGTGGAGTTCAGGCTGAGGAGATGGGTGCTGTCCTCAGTGAGCTCCTGGTGTGTGGACGCTTCATATTGGTTAACTAAGAGCTATCAGGGCCCTTTCTGCCCCAGACCCTGGGTTAAGACACAGAGAGACACGGGACCTGGCCCCTCTCCTCAAGCGAGTCCTGGTCTGTGAGAAGCACACAGATCCACCGTGACCAGTCTCCACACCTCAGGGAGCCTGGGGCAGCCCTGCACAGCATGATTTAGCGCTTATAACCTCGTGACATCCCTGAGAGGCAGGCACCACATTCCCCCGTTTTTCCAATGAAATGAAATCACCACCTCAAGGTCACATAGCAAATGCATAGCAGAGTTGGGATTCAAACCCAGGTCCATCAATCTCCACTAATAGAGAAAGAGACATATGACCAGGGCTTTGAAGGATGAATAGAAGTTCACTAGGAAGGGCTGAAGGAAAATGAGTACTACAGAAACAAAGTGAATCAGATTGCTCCCAAGCACGAGCTTTATTGTATCCCAAGTTTTCTCGGAAGTGAGGTCTGTGTGGGGCTTCCAGGGGGTGGTTAGAGTAGCAGAGTTGACAAAGTTGGTGCCCTCACTGTTCAGACAGGGAAATCAAGGCTCAAGTAGGGGCAGGGCCTGCTGGGTGGTGAGTGAGCACGTCACTGACAGGCTGTGTATTGCTTTCCTAGCCTTTCTGAATGTAGGAAATCCAGCTGGGCAGCCATGGAGCGGGACAATGGCACAGGCCAGGCTCTGGGCTTGCCACCTACCACCTGTGTCTTCCGTGAGAACTTCAAGCAACTGCTGCTACCACCTGTGTATTCGGCCGTGCTGGTGGCTGGCCTGCCACTGAACCTCTGCGTCATTGCCCAGATCTGCATGTCCCGCCGGGCCCTGACCCGCACAGCCGTGTACACCTTAAACCTCGCCCTGGCCGACCTACTGTATGCCTGCTCCCTGCCCCTGCTCATCTACAACTACGCCCAAGGTGACCACTGGCCCTTTGGCGACTTCGCCTGCCGCCTGGTCCGCTTCCTCTTCTATGCCAACCTGCACGGCAGCATCCTCTTCCTCACCTGCATCAGCTTCCAGCGCTACCTGGGCATCTGCCACCCGCTGGCGCCCTGGCACAAACGGGGGGGCCGCCGGGCCGCCTGGCTAGTGTGTGTAGCCGTGTGGCTGGCCGTGACAGCCCAGTGCCTGCCCACAGCCATCTTTGCTGCCACAGGCATCCAGCGTAACCGCACCGTTTGCTATGACCTCAGCCCGCCCGACCTGGCCACCAGCTACATGCCCTATGGCATGGCTCTCACTGTCATCGGCTTCCTGCTGCCCTTTGCTGCCCTGCTGGCCTGCTACTGTCTCCTGGCTCGCCGCCTGTGCCGCCAGGATGGCCCTGCAGGGCCTGTAGCCCAGGAGCGGCGTGGCAAGGCGGCCCGTATGGCAGTGGTGGTGGCCGCTGCCTTTGCCATCAGCTTCCTGCCTTTTCACATCACCAAGACAGCCTACCTGGCAGTGCGCTCGGCACCGGGCATCTCCTGCCCTGTGCTGGAGGCCTTTGCAGCAGCCTACAAAGGCACGCGGCCGTTTGCCAGCGCCAACAGCGTGCTGGACCCCATCCTCTTCTACTTCACCCAGAAGAAGTTCCGCCGGCGGCCGAACGAGCTCCTACAGAAACTCACAGCCAAATGGCAGAGGCGGGGTTGCTGAGTCCTCTAGGGCCTGGGCAACCTTTACGTTTGCCATTGTGACTGGGACTCTGGGAGCCCCACCAACCCCAAACCATGCAGGGAATTAGAGCTCAGCTCATTGGGCATGGAGTAAAGTCCCTCACAGGACCCAGAAACTCACCAACAACTATTTATTCAGCCCTTCTCTGGCCCAGGCCGTGTGGGCATGGAGATGGACAGGCCTGAGCCTGGCTCTTGAGAGGTCCCAGTCAGCCATGGAGAGCTGGGGAAACCACGTTAAGGTGCTCACAAAAATACAGTGTGACATGTACTGTCATCAAGGGGTATCGGCTGGGTGTGGTGGCTCACGCCTGTAATCCAAACACTTTGGAAGCCAAGGCAGGCGGATCACCTGAGGTCGGGAGTTCAAGACCAGCCTGACCAACATGGTGAAACCCCATCTTATAAAAAAAGGGGGGGGTATGCTCCATGCTTTGAGTCACCAAAGAAGGGGATGAGGGAAGATGAGAGTGGGAAGTGAGAGCTTCTGGGAAGGGGCATTTGATCTGGGTTTTGAGGATGACTATGAGCTCTCTGGAGAGGAGGGATATTCCATTTATTTAGTAAGCCTTTACTGATACCTTGTGCTCAGGCCTGGGTTGGTTCTGAGACCCTAGAAGAACCAGTGCTAGCCCTGATCCATACAGGCTCCCAACTGCTGGAAGTACGGACTGGCACAGCAACATCAGGGTTGTACAGAGGGAAGCATGGCTGCGGGGAGGGGGTACCCAGAGTGTGGTCATGACCCAGTCCAAGGAGTCAGGAAAGACCTCTCTGAGGAGGGAACATCTGAGGTAGGTGTCGAGGGCTAAGTGGGAACTTGGCAAGCAGAAGTGGGGAGCACTTTAATGCAGCCCCAGTATGCTCTATGCATATCCGGTCGTGTCAGCCTCATGCTGGGCTCTGCCCTGGGCAGGCAGAGGACCAGAGCAGAGGATACATGGCCTTGAGTGTGTGAAAGCCGAGAAAACGGGAGCTGTGACTCAGTCACCCTCCAGACAAGGGCAAGAGTTGGCCAGATGCTCCAGGCTATGGGAGGTCAGTGAAGGGAGCAATAGGGTGGAGCTTCTTAGAAGAGGCAGGAGGTTGCCACTGGGCACAGTGGCTCATGTCTGTAATCCCAGCACTTTGGGAGGTTGAGGTGGGCTGATCACCTGAGGTCAGGAGTTCAAGACAAGCCTGACCAGCATGGAAAAACCCTACGTCCGCTAAATCTACAAAATTAGCTGGTGGCGCATACCTGTAATCCCAGCTACTCGGGAGGCTGAGACAGGAGAATTGCTTGAACCTGGGAGGTGGTGGTTGCAGTGAGCTGACATTGTGCCATTGCACTCCAGCCTGGGCAACAAAAGCGATACTCCATCTCAAAAAAAAAAAAAAGAAGAAGAAGAAGAGGCAGGAGGCCAAGTGTTCATGTGCTCATGTCTGTAATCTCAGCACTTTGGGAGGCCAAGGCAGGAGAAATGCTTGAGCCCAGGAGTCTGAGACCAGCCTGGACAATACAGTAAGACCCTGTCTTTACAAAAAAATTAAAATATTACCCTGGTGTGGTGGTGTGTGCCTGTAGAGCTACTCAGGAGGCTGAGGCACTGAGTTCAAGGTTATAGTAAGCTAGGATCATGCCAGTCCATTCCAGCCTGAGCAACAGAGGGAGACCCTGTTTCTAAAAAAATTAAGCCAGGAGTGGTGGCTCATGCCTGTAATCCCAGTACTTTGGAAGGCTGAGGCTGATGGATCACTTGAGGTCAGGAGTTTGAGACCAGCCTGGCCAACATGGCAAAACCTCTTCTCTACTACAAAAATTAGCTGGGTGTAGTGGCAGGCACTTGTAGCTCACGCTACTCCGGAGGCTGAAGCACAAGAATCACTTGAACCTGGGCGGGGAGGTTGCAGTGAGCTGAGATTGCACCACTGCACTCCAGCCTGGGTGACAGAGCAAGACTTTGTCTCAAAAGGAGAGAGAGAGAGAGAGAGAGAGAGAGAGAGAGAGAGAGAGAGAGAGAAATTGGCTGTAAAGCAACAGCAAGTTTCAATTAAAGGGGGATGGGTGGGGTGGGGTGGGGCCTGGGTGTGTGGAAGTGGGCAGCCAGGAAAAGATCTGGGTAGGGCGAGAGCATTCAGTGCAAGGATGAGCCCCAGATCCCTCTCCTTCATCCACCTCTTCAAATGTTCTTTCAACTGTGGGGTATCTTCTGTACCTAGGGTACCTCCACCAGGCCCCAAAGTGAGGGGAAACAACCGTTCAACATTGCTTCATTCTAAATGGAGGAGCCAGCAGCTTGAGAGCCTCAGGGCCACCGGGAGGCTGCTTTGTGGAGGTCCCATGGCTGGAAGTCTACTGACTGGTCTCATGACAGACTGTTCCGCTGTGTTCCACCCCTGCCCTCTCTGGCCCATCGTTCTGACCTGTGGGTACCCAGAAAGCTGCCTTGAGGCCATCTCCTAAGGAGGCGGGTCAAAAACAGATCTGAGCCTTAAAAAGCCTTGGAAAAGCATCTTTACCAAAGGTCCCTGGAGGAGACAGCAAAGGGGAATTACATCCTCCACCAAATCCTCTTCCCCTCTGAGAACCGGCCCTTGGCCACTCCTTTGCAGCTCCTCATTCTCTCTGCCATTTTTTCTCATTTCTCCTCCCTGACTCCTCCCCGTCACTTCTTCTCCAGTCCTTGTGCCCTCCTCCCAGATCTGATTTTCTTATGTAGAACAACCTAGCCTGCCCTTGGCTGCTGGTGCACCACACAGACCCTGTAAGCCAAGAACGAGCCCTGGCTAACAGTCTTTTTAGAAGGCAAAGCATGGAGGGGAAGGACTGTATAGTTTATGCAACATTTTGGAAAAACCTTTAGCTCCACCTAGTCCCCAAGGCTACTGGGCAGTAGGGTCATTTAGAGAGGGGCATTGGAGGAGTTAACTCCATCGTAATGTCACGGGTGTGCTTGCAGCTGGCTGAGGAAGTGGGAAAACCAGGCCCAACCCACCCTGGGAAGCCATTCAAAGTGTCCTTGCTAGAGAGGCAGACCACTTGTACAGAAGGAACTTTCACTCATGACCACAGTGAGACCGGCGTGTGTTAGAAGACAGAGGCTGGTTTTCGTTCCCTGTACCATGCCCTGCCGTGCCAAGCAGGACACATAGGACCCACCTTGCATCTAGCTCCGAGTCTCAGAGCAATCTTCTCAGTTGCCTGGGATGGGGGCTAGGGGATAGTGAGAGCAAGGGCAGAGGACAGGGCCTCTGCTCATAGCCCACCTGAGCCCCTGTAGAGAGTCCCAGATGACTGTCCCAGCTGACTTCCAAGAGCTGTGACCCTTTGGTTAGTCTTCCAGGAGTGGAAATTGTGACCCATAGGTAAATTCCATTTCAAGCTTCCCTTTGTGAGGCTGACAAGTCCGAATGGCCAGAATGGGCTATATGGGCATGCGACAATATGGGTAAATCTTAGCAGTATGACATTAAGAAAAAAGAAGTAACAACAAATTATGTACAGCAAAATGCACCCCCCCCCTTTTTTTTGAGACAGTCTTGCTCTGTTGCCCAGGCTGGAGTGCAGTGGTGCAGTCTTGGCTTACTGCAACCTCCACCTCCTGGGTTCGAGTGATTCTCCTGTCTCGGCCTCCCAAAAAGCTGGGATTACAGACATGCACCACCACGCCCAGCTACTTTTTGTATTTTTAGTAGAGACAGCGTTTCACCATGTTGGCCAGGCTTGTCTTGAACTCCTGGCCGCAAGCAATCCACCTGCCTCAGCCTCCCAAAGTGCTAGGATTACAGGTGTGAGCCACCATGTCCAGCAGGATGCTCTTTTAAAAAGTTAAGAACAACTAAAATGAAAATATATAGTTTGAAGGAATATGCAGATGCAATAGAACCATATAAAAAGGAAAGCAAGAGAATGCTGAACACAAGATTTGAGATTATTTTCTGTGTGGTGGGACAGCAGGAGGATGGGGGAAGAACTATATAATAAGATGTGAATTATTATAAAGGTCCTACTTGTTTTGTTTTTTGGAGAAAGCCAATTAAATAACTGATAAGACTATATCAGAAACAAAATATAAAAAATCACATCCGATGTGCTTAAGGTCTAATTATATAGGAAAAGGGGCAATCTCAGATAGTTTCTCTTTAGCTTTGGAATGGAGTCAGAGGAGTCAGATTTCCCCCTAAGACAGTTCCTTCATGGAGCTCATTGCTTCTTGGGGTCCCCACACTCATCATTTATCTCCCTCTTAAGCACAGTTGCTCCTTGACTTACAATGTGGTTAAATCCCAGTGAACCCATTGAAGATATCATAAGTCAAAAAGACATTTAATACACCTAGCCTACATCAGAGCTTAGCCTAACTCACCTTAAACAGGCCCAGAATGCGTCCATAGCCTAGAGTTGGGCAAAAATCATCTAACACAAAGCCTATTTTGTAATAAAATGCTGAATATCTCATGTAATTTATTGAATACTGAAAGTGAAAAACAGAATGATTGTATGTGTGTTTAAAGTATAGTTTCTACTGGATGTACATAGCTTTTGCATCATCATAAAGTAAAAAAATCATTAAGTTGAAACCTCATGAGCTGGGGACCATCTGTACTTGAAGCCCATCATTGGCCATGAGCTGTAACCTTAAAAACCTTCCCATCTTGGGATTCTCCAAGGGATTCCATGGTCCTCACTTCACTAGATCACCATGACTCACTGGATAGATGGGCTATTGTTTTCATTACCCTTTCATAGATGAGAAGCCTGGGGTCCAGAGAAAAGAGAGTGAACTGTGGAAACCGAGCTTCAAAACCCCAGCAGAGTGTTTTTCTCTCCCCACTCTGGTGCCCAGTGCTCACAGCCTCCTACCAGATAAGTCTTCTTGGAGCTAAAAATTGCTATACATAATTACCAAGCACCACAAAAATTCCAGAACCAGGTCGGGCACGGTGGCTCAAGCCTGTAATCCCAGCACTTTGGGAGGCTAAGGCGGGTGGATCACGAGGTCAAAAGTTCGAGACCATCCTGGTCAACGTGGTGAAACCCCATCTCTACTAAAAATACAAAAAATTAGCTAGGCATGGTGGCGCGTGCCTATAATCCCAGCTACTCAGGAGGCTGAGGCAGGAGAATTGCCTGAATCCAGGAGGCAGAGGTTGCGGTGAGCCGAGATCATGCCATTGCACTCCAGCCTGGGTAAAAAAAAAAAAAAAAAAAAAAAAAAAAATTCCAGAACCCTCTGTTCATGGAAGATAACTTTGCCTTATCCTGGATCATAAGGAGCTGGGTGGGGGTGGAGG